ATCTTCCAAACACTCAGGAAAACGAAATTCAACAACTTGATCCGATAATCGTTAATATCATCAATAATGAAAATGAATCTACGAATAATGAAATATCAATAATGAAAATGAATCTACGAATAATGAAAATGAATCTACGAATAATGAAATATCAATAATGAAAATGAATCTACGAATAATGAAATGAAGATGATGAAAACAGTGACGATGAAAATCAACATATAAAAATCTCTCATACAGATGGGCTGAAAGCTATCGAAAGTGCTATTGAATAAAAAGAAAAATAAGAACAGGCGGCATCAGCCTGTTATCTTTAAAAAAGGACGAAACATTGCTGCAGAAAAGCGCTAAAGTAATGTAAAACTAATAAGGACTTTTTTAAGTAAAAACTCTTTAATTCTCTTAAAGAATGCTCTTTAAGTGTTTCTAAGTAAGCTTCCTAATTATAATATAAATTGTATAAATTTTGTAAACAAAATTACTCGTATAAATTTTGTATTTGTTAAATATATTCATTTAAACCTACTCTTTCCTTTTTAGACTCTTCGTTTTAATCGAGTTTTTCGGTTATCCGAGTAAGTCGTGGTCCACATTAACTCGGATAATCGGGACACTACAATTTGTTTGTATTGTAAATCTAACTTCTGCGGTCTGTGCGATAAGACAGTTTGAAATATTCCCACTCATATGGCGATGATAATCCGGAAGGAAAATATTTGAGATTTGGCTGGAGAGCCTTAAACAATCATAAACGAGTAGGCGTGTGAGTTTCAAGGATAGCTTAACCTTAACTATTAATAGAACATTACGCATAACGTTCTTTTGTGTGCAAACAGTTCTTTTCCCCCAATAACATTAACTTTTCTTATTCAATAAATTCATGTTATCTAATATTAAAATTAATCTTAATATTAAAATAATGTTATCTAAAGCAGTGATTCTGTAGACCGACTCCTATACAATTTTAAGGAGCGAAATTTAAAATAAAAGAATATTTTGATAATGATGATTTTTTCACTTATCTAAAATGCATTATTATAATTTATTAATTTTACTATCCACTTACACTAATTAAACTATATACTGTCTCTCTGTGTTCATATTTTTGGGTTGGTTTAGTAAAGAAATAAATAAGTCGTTTAATGTCGTGACTCAAATTATAGTTTTATGAACTTTTTTTTACTTCATATAAGGATTAATTCATTCTTTCGCTTATTCTTTGATTAACTGCTTCATTGGAGCTTTGATTCGTTTTTTAACAGCTTTAATTTCTTTTTACTTTATTCACTCGTTATATTAAAAGGCATTTATAGTAGTATGGTTGCCATAACGAGGCGCTTTCGACAAATGAATTAATAAATGACGATTTCTAAAGGCTATATAATTTTCTTCCACACAAATATAGAGTTATAAAAACTTAAATAATAAATAAATAAATAAACTGGAAACAAAAAATTTAATTTAAGGTTTTTTCTCCGACTTAGTAAATAATAAAAATGTAAATGTTAAAAAGTAACAACTTTAATCTTTTTATGTTATGTATTTAAAAATTACTCCAACTCTACATTGTTTGGGCTTATAAAAAATTTACAAATATTGAGAACTATTCATGGATTTTAATGATTTTTATCTAAATTAAAATAATCTCGCCAGGTTGGCAACTTTTTAAAAAAAAAAGTTTAATAATTTAAAAAAATATTAAAGTTTTCTGTCGGTTTTTAAAGCCAGACAATTCTATTTAGCAAGATAAAAATTAAAGCTTTTGCTGCGAGTTAAATGCACTCTAACTTAGGTTTATTTATTTATCATCTCTTGGTAAAAGAGCTACGAAGAATACACCACACATCTATTTGTTTACCTCTCTATTAATAGAATTTTATCGCGTCATGCGTATGAATACAAAACTTATTAATAATAATAAAAAAAACGTTATTTGCACAGTTCTCTATAATTTTTTTTTTTCTTCATTGCCCTTCTGTGTAGCAGAATTTCGAAGAGGAGCTGCTATTAACCATGACCTATATGGGTGTTTCAAGGACGTCATCATCACCCACTGAAAACTAGCATCTGCTGTAGAACATCCGCATATATGAATGATGGATTTTTAACACCATTTCCATCCTGACGATATCTTTTTTTTATATATATTCTTTTATTCTCGTATAACATTTCTTTGGTTCAGGGACCCAGAGGCCAACTTTCGAACGAAGAGTGGAACAAAATGTACTATTTGACATAGGGCGTATAATATTACTTATTGTTGCAATAAAACCCTGTAATTTATTTATTATTTTTTTTTTTTTTTTTATGTATGTAGATATTTTCATTTCGATAAAGCGTTTTTTTTTCCTTTAAAAAAATGAAAACAAAGAATTAAAAAAGTAATGAAGCAGTATTTTGTAACCTTATTTTACTCATTGTGAAATACTAATAAGGGTATGTTCTAGAACAGCGTTTCCGAATTTTTTTCAGCTACGGAACCCTAAACGCTTGAACTTCTTTTGGCGGACTCCTTAATGTTTGAAAAAGTAAACTAGCAGGTGTGAATAAAATAAATAAAAAAATAAAAATCTGAAAAAGAAAAAAAAAACTTTAAATTAATTTAGAAACATTTCATATAAAAAAATAAAATTTTTTCATTGCTTCATCAATATCAGTCTTAAAATTAGATTTTATGTTAGGCAGTTGATTTCGCAAATCTTCAGCAATTTTTAATCTTGTAGTTTTTGGCGTATGCATAAATCAAATTGAATGAATTACTGAATTATGGTTTGTGAAAAAGAACTGTTACAATAGGCGAGGGTTAACGGAGAAAAAGAATTAGTAATTCTTGAGTAAGTTTATTTTATTTTGAACTTAAAAGTTTATAAAAGAGAAATGCTGATACAATCATTTACAAATGTTTGTTTGAAAGATTTGATACTTTTGTTTGAAAAATTAAATATTTTGCGTGAATGAATGTTTCGAAATAATACTTTTGCTTGAAAGATCAAATATTTTTGTTTGAAATAATGTTTGAAAATAATATTTTTATTTGAAGGAATTAATATTGTGTATAGAATAAATGGAAGAATTTTAGTATTAATAAAAATAATGCTTTTATTTAAAATATACAGTACTGGCTAAATAATTATAATTTAATTTTTTTTCTCTTTATTTCAAGTTTGCATTGACATTTGTTTGGAAATAATGCTTCCAGAAAGGGCTCATCTTTAGGAAAAATATGTTTTATAACAGAGCCATCAATGTTAATACAAACATTTAAATGAAATTTTTAGTTGCGACGATAATGTACTGAATAAGTTTTTTATTTCCTTCAAAGGAAGAAGATGTTGTTAGGATTTGTTGTTTGTTATTCTATTCAAGAAAATAACAATTATAATAAATAAAGAAAGAGGATTATTTTTTCTTGCACGAATTTACTAAGTAAGCACAAAACGAGGGCTGCATAAATAAAAATATATTGAAACAATGCTGTATCGCATGAAAAACTTAATTCAAGCAGCAGCAGCTGTGTATACCAAGTAATTAAAATGGTCATACAAAACATGTTTTAAAAAAAAAGATTCTTGTATTTGTCTTACATATTTACATTATTGGGGAAAATATTCTGATAATTATTTGCTAAGTACTGATTAACATCGTTTAAAAAATAATGTTTTATGAGCATTTTATGTGATGTTAGTTCAAGAAAATTATATATTTATAAAATTAAAATTATAACAAAATAGTGAAGGAAAAAAACTGATATTTTATTTTCTTCTTGGGTTTGCTACTCTTTGTCTACGTGCGTATATCACGCATTAAAATTCTCCTAAAATTTTTGGATTAAATTTTTTTTCTAGTTTAAAATGTTGTTTATTATTGAAGTACCATAACTCGTCAAAATATTAGTTTGAATAAAAATGTTTTTTTTTAACACTGAAAGCGCATTTCCTAAAATTAATTCCCTTATCCAATATTCCATTTTTTATTAAAATTTTACAGCGGGCATGTCTTCGTTCTCTATTGTTGTCTTATGCTAGTTCTCAATACTAACAAGTCTATTTTTAAGGCTGAAGGTTGTGCGCTTCTTTTGTATTCCAGTGGCGCCATCTATGGTCAAGAATTTGACTTCTGCCTCACACATACGTCACAGTCCGCTTTACACGGAGGACACATCCATACACTATCCATCCATCCGCAGATCGTAATTTTGACCTGAACCCGTAGCACGATCAATCTCCGATCCAGTACCCCATAAGGTATTGATTTGTTAAGGAAACTTAGAGGACTTCATGACCCTGACAAATTCAGCGGTTCACCTCATTGGGAAGCGAACACTCTATCCGCTGAGCCACTTCGGCTCAAAGCTCTTTATTTTCTTTTATGACCGTCGTTGAACAGCTTATCTTTTGGTTTACGACTACAAATGTTCAACTACACAGCCTTGTAATTTTGAACCCAATCTAGAAGACAAGGAAACTCCTGGATCAAGTATTGGGTCTTTTTGATGCAACTAACCCGCATTTGCGTTACGTGGAGAAGAAGACCACGAGAACCTCCCCGGTTAGCGTGATGGCAAGGGGACTCTAACCCATGATCCGTCTACCACTGAGGATATTTCACGTCAGCACTGTGGTTGGTGTCAGCCGGATGCGGAATTCGTATCGACTAGCCATCGCTGGGATTCTAAACCGGTTCACTTCATTGGAAGGAGAACGCTCTATCTCCTGAGCCACTACGGCTCAGAGCGCTTTATTTGTAAAAAGTACTTCCATTGAATTGTATTATGTGCAATTTTTACATTGCTATCTAAAGATTATCAAAACCATTATTTTTTGAACGCTCATAAAGTAAATATTTAGTTAGCTTTTGCAGACAATGCAAGAGTTTTAGATTAGTGCTGTAAATTAATAGCAGCATTTTGTATAACTACCTTATATTATTTTCTATTACATTATAGTTTCTATAAGATGTCTCAAATGGTAAACATTTATTTATTTATTGTATTGTTGCAGGTGGAAGCAAGTTCCTGCGTTTGTTACTCAGTTTCGCCGTTGGGGGTCTCCTGGGTGACGTCTTTCTTCATTTGTTGCCAGAAGCATGGAATCACATCGAAAGTTGTACGTTGCCTTTATTCATTTAGTTTTTGCTTAAGATTTATTCCATCAAAAATAACTCTGACATAAAAATACACTTTAAACCTTCAAAATATAAGCTCAAAACTAGAACTAGGATTACTTTTTGCTTTATTAAGAAGTAAATTACTTGCTATTGCTATGTTTTATGTAGCGAGTATTACAACTAACTATTTATGGCACTCGTTGTAACTGGCCTGAAATATTTAATGTGTCGAAATTCTTATCATATTAAACTTAAGTAACTTATTAAAGTAATTTGTAAAAAGAAGCATATTTCAAAATTTTTACTTAATATTGTAGACTTTTTAGTGTAGATGTGTTAATGATAACCTAAAAATAAAAGATAAATCTAGGTTTAATCGGCTTAAATGGGGATTATTTATTCTAGTTGGTTAAAAACTCGAGGAATCAAACGATTCCATCTTTAATCGGCCAAAACTAGATCTAAACAATCGCTGCCAGTTAAAACCCGAAGGTGATAAACTGATACATATTGATAAATTAATGTGTTATTATTATGTGATACTTAAAGAAACCCTTTTCCGGTATAATGCCTGCTAGTTTCACATGATATTAGAATTCACAACACTGATGATTTTTATTTCTGTTTAAATTTCTCAAAATAATACTTGGTATTTCCTTCTCTAATGTTCTTTCAAAGTAAAAGGCCATTGTCGGGTTTAAACTTGCCCGGTATTTATAAACTTTTTTTTTTAATGTTAAAAGCTTTTCTATGGATAAAGAGATTTCGCATAGCGTTCCCCTAAATATAACGCTATTTAAGCTTCACAGTTCATAACTGTTGGTAGTTTGCAATAGTTAGTTCTTGACTGTCAAGTCTACCTTTGGCTTGCGCAACCAATGCTACTTCTGAAAATGGCGCAAAACGTCAATATGATGACAAGCCACAGTTTTGTGAAAACAACAAGCATTTGTGGTCTAATTTTTTAATATCTAAAACAGGGCTTGAAGAAACTCAGAAATTTTACCCGTCCCCGAGGACGGCTTGTCCAACAATGTACCCGTCCTCCTTTGAAACTAACCCGTAGCTTCTAAATAAATAAAAGTATAATTTTCTCTTATTTATTACTAACATTTATATAGATTGCACAATGAATTAGAAGTTACTAGGATTACAAATACTAGGATTACATTATACAGTAATAAAAGAAATACTAGGTTACTAATAATAAAAACTAGTATTTCTTTTAGGAAATAATTTAAATAACAAAGGTCAAGTTATCTGGAATGTCAATTTATTCGAGGGTACTGCGTTTTTTAAATTAATCAAATATGACGTTTGCCAGTTCCACAATCAAGCCAATGATTTACAGAGGCTTCTGCACAGAAATCTGAAAGGGGTTTTCCATTTACGTAGATGTTTATAATTGCGTTTAACTCTTGTTTAATGTGTTTATGTGCGTAATGTGTTTTTTTTTTTTTTTTTTTTTTTTTTTTTTTTTTTTTTTTTTTTTTTGTAAGTTCATTGCTGAAAAGCCTCTTTCAACCGCTGCAGTGCTCCCAGACAGAGACATTAATTCATTAATTCCACCATGCACAGTATGTTGCGGTATTTCTAGATTAGAGGGTCATTTTAGAAGTGAGGCGCTAGACTCTTGTAAGATAACGAAAATTGAAAGTGTATCACGAACATTAACGGAAAAATGGCCGTCCGCGCGGACGTTGGATTCGAGAAATTTGTTGTCCGCGAGGAATTTTTGACCGCTGAGGACGGGCTGTTTTTCGAGCCCTGATCTAAAAGACTACTCCAACGCTGAATTATCTGGACACAAAAATATTCTTAAAAATTTAGAATAATTCATTCATTTTGATGATCTTCATCCAGGTGTAAAAAATCTCGCCAAATGGGCGATTTTTAAAAATAGTTAAACATTTTTTGATATACTTAAGTTATTTATCCGTTCGAAAACTCGGGTAATTCTTTATGACAAAATCGTACATATAGTATAAAATTATAACTTTGCCTCAATCATAAAGCACTTAAACGGTGCCTTCTTATCATTTTCTTTGATGAAAGAGCTTGTGTTAACCGGTTATACCTAAATTTGTCTCTCATTCTTCCGTATACAGATATTAATAGTGCTCTTTGTTAAGTTTCGCTAATAATTCACTATCAAAAAGTGTCAACAGTTCATGCTATACAAAGCTGCTATAAAACTGAACAAAGCAGCTGTTGCGATATCTGCTGTGCTACCTGCCTACAATTTGCAATAGCAGTGCCCAATGAACTCTGTCCATCCTTCGTATTCAAATTGTAAGCGTCATTGATCAAACCTTTTTTATTTTGTCTAGTGGGTCCAGAAGTTCATTCCAGTCACATCACACTCGGACTCTGGGTACTTTTAGGAATGTTTTCCTTCGTCATTCTAGAACTCATGTTTGCTGCATCTCACGACAACAAAGTAAGTTTGTTTATAATCTAGAACAGCTGTTCCCTAAAAGTGGAACCCTAGTATATATAGTATATCCCGTACCATGATCCCATGAATTCAGATATTTTTTAACCAATAATAATTATGTTAATATGCAATTACTGACCCATAATTTGTTTCATATTTCGTTAATATGTTGTTGTTTTTAATGATACTTAAGCAAGCTTAGCTCGCCAGCCATTGGTCTTTTGCGAATTAAATCAGGAAGTCACATCACATCCTATGCCTTACGTTTGACAAGAGAGCACCGCATAGGTGAAAGTACATCGTAGCTCAGAACCCCACGACAAATTACAGCACTACTCATTCGTGAGGAAACTTCCTCACTTTAGACATAAATCTAACGAGGAATGAAATTTTCTCAAGATCCTTGCTCCCATGGTACTCAGCGACTGATTTTTCGATTCAATAGATTTTAAGAGCATGTGTATCATACGTTCTTGGTGGTCTTTCGCTGCCCCCTCAAGACCCCTTGTCCGCTTCTCTAACCGCTGTGCTATTAAGGACATTCCATTAATATGAAACTATTCATGTAAAATGTCAATAAAAAAGTACCAAAATCAAAATTTTTAAAAAGAATTTTATTTTCTCCATAAATATGTATTGAGTAAATTATGAACAGATATGCCTTTATAAATTTTTCCATAAGTTTTTCTCATCGAGTTCTTCAAAATAAAATAACCAAATTCTAGAATAAAAAAATCTTGTTTCTTTGATAACTAGTCTCAACTTTTATAGCAGCTCTTTTTTGAAAGCCATAATTTAACTTTTTTCATTCATTTTCAATAAATGCATACACGAAGAACAAATTTATAATTAAAAATATTTCGCTCTTCAAATTAAATATTTCCAAAATGATTATTAGTAGATTTTTTTCCCTTAGTTTATTCCCAACCATTAATAAGCTTTTTTTTTCTTTCTTTTTTTATCTATAATGCCGGGGTTCCGCCTAATGAAGCTCAATCATATAGGATTCTATAGCCGAAAGAAATTCAGAACCGCTGAGTTTTTCCTTTTAACTCAACATGCCGGATATATAGATATAAATCGGTATTTAGGTCTGGCAGGTGTAAATCGGATTTTTATAAGCGTAGTGTCATTGAAATACGTTGTTCAAATTTTTTTGAATTAAAATAATTTAAACCAGCAGTGGAGGAAAAAAACCGACTTGGTTTCCATATATAGTGTTCTTTCACCATTGAAAAGTACGAATTTTAATGTAATTTGGAAATCATGAAAGCCTCCCATGGTTGGCCCGACTTCCCGATCCATGATCCATCCAACACTGGGGATATTTTAAATATTTTGAGCCGGAAGAGCAGCATACGAGTCGTCATGAGATTCGAACCTGGGTTACCTGATTGGAAGTTGCGTGCTCTGTACACCGAATCACCCCGATTTGTTATGTTTATTTATAAATTTATCAACATATTCTAACTTAGTATAACAGCAGTATAATGTTATTTTTAGGCATGTTTGTACCTTTATCAATACACGTTAGCTTAAGGGTACACTACATCTGAGAGTAGCGATCTCTGTAATTTGTAAAAATAAACAAACTTTTCCAATTTGTATGAATAAACAAAATAAATTTGCTTAACATTAAAATTGCGAAATACTTTATTTTAAATTAGCTTAAACCATGTGACTTATTATTTTTCCCCCCCATGAACCTAATGACAATGAAAACTGAACCTATGGGTGCCGCAAGAGTCCAATTTTTGAGGGGAACAAAATTAAAATACACAATCACAATAGCTCTCTAAATTTTACACATAAAAAAGTCTACTAAATATTTGCAAAAAGATTTTTTCATCTCTTTTTAGTGATTGCTGGATTTAAATCGATCATGATTTATAAAAATTTTCTTTATTTCTCTGAATTTTGTTGAAAGGAACTTCAAATTATTGAGGGGAGCATATGCCCACCATACCCCCCGCCAACGATACGCATAATTGAACTCCTCATTAACTTATTTATCTCCGATTTCATTTAAAATAAATATTTGAAACGCTTGAGACGATAAAATGATAAGTCACATTTTCAAATTATTCGAGGTAGCTTTTTTGGTAAAAAACTCTACCATTTCCATCGAATCACTGAGATAATACGTTACCATCTACTGAGAAATTAGGATTACTAAGGAACAGCTAATTAAAAGAAATTCACCTTTAAAAAAGTATGGGTTATCACAAAATTGCCCCTAATCCTTTTGTTGTTCTGAAATGTTAATGTTTACCCAGAAAACGCTTTTGAAGAAAAACACAACAATTTCCATGTAAGTAATAAGATAACTACCTAATGTGTGTTGTGCTGCCATCTACTAAAAAATTAGGATTACTAAGGTACAGCTAATTGAAAGAAATTCACCTTTAAAAAAATATGGGTTATCACAAAATTGCCCCTAATCCTTTTGTTCTGAAATATTAATGTTACCCAGAAAACATTTTTGAAGAAAAACACAACAATTTCCATTTAAATAATGAGATAACTACGTAATGTGTGTTGTGCTGCCATCTACTGAAAAATTAGGATTACTAAGGAACAGTTAGTTTAAAAAAATTCACTAAATTGCCCCAAATTCATCATTTGTTCTGAAATATGAATGGTTTTTTTTCTCAAAGTTTTTATTTTATTTTAAAAACCTTTTCTCTTCCCAGGAAGTGCGGAGGACGAGTATTTCCCATGCGTATACAGGTGAGAAACAGCAACAATTGAATGGCAGTGCTTCATGCAACGGTCACTCTATGTATCACGAAACATACGCACAGCAATTAAAACCAAAGTTGGAACAGAATGGTTCCTCGAAGTCGAACAGCAATGGATGCATCATCAAAGAACCCATCAAAGTGATACAGAATATTCATGTGTGTTCATATTTTACACCATCTATAAAATTTATTGTTTCAAACTCATAGAACTTTAAATCTTTCTCTATTTTTTTCTCCCTTGATCACAATTCTTATTAATTAACAACATATAAATCTTCATTGTCTTCATCGTAATTTTTTTAATGTGTAAAAAATATTCTAGCGATGATGGTTCAGTTCACCTTTATAGAATATTTAACCCCTTTCCATCTGCTTATATAGGAGTCGCGGTTATATTGTGGTTAAAGCACTAATCTGTCGTGAAAGACCGGGGTTCGATTCCTCGGAGGCGATTTAGAGCTCACCTAGCTTCAGACCAATTGAGGACCAGTTAGACTTTTAAGTAGAAACGTTTGGTGCCCAACGAATATTATATAGCCGTTGGCCTCGAAATTATACAGCCTTAACCTTCATGAAGTCCTATCTGATAACTGATTGTTGCAGGAGAGCTTTACTTAATTTACTCTCATATTTATTTTTATCAATCATCTAAACACCATTTTATATTTAAGGGTGTTAATCCGTATCTGTTTTCTGTGGCCTCAACCGTGTAATTTTGAACTACCCAGAAGACCAATAAACTCCTGAATTCAGCATTGGGACCCACCACGTTCATTGAGAACTTTTTAAATGAAACTAACCTCCATTTAGGTTACATGAACAAGAAAACCCGAAAACATGGCGAGGGTTATTTCGATAGCAAGAGAATTCAAACTCTTGATCTGACAATTGGAGGCATTCTGCGCTATGGTTAGTGTGAGCCCACTGCAGTATACGAATCGACCAACCATCACCAGGATACGAACCTCGGTCGTCTCATTCTCAGTTCTATTCTGTGATTCATCCATTAGGATATTTTGCCGACAAGCATGGTCACGTTCACTAACTCATCGCTTCGTGGCTCAACACAACTTAGTATAGCATTTTGGTAACATGACATTTCAATCATTTTTAAACAGCACTTCTTTCTTTTTAATTGTTTAAGTCTGAAAAATAATATTTTTTTCTCCATATTATTGTATCCGAACTTGAAAAAGTAAAAACAGCAATATGCGAATCAATTCATGTGAATGCAAGTTTTTATTTTCCTTTTAGATTGCTGGTTACTTAAACTTGATGGCCAACAGTATAGACAATTTCACTCATGGTTTAGCAGTAGCAGGAAGTTTCTTAGTGGGAATAAAGGTGAGGTTCTTTAAGGGAAAAATTCATTTATTTTTAATAGTTAATATTATTAGAAATGATTTTTTTGAAGAATGAATTTTTTACTATTTTTAGTAAAGTTTACAAACTTATTTTTTTAAAAAAAAGTTTTTTTTTGTTTGGAAAAGATAGTTAAAAACTTAAACGTCTCATTTGCATTGATTTTAGTTACATCTATTTAGTTGTATTTAAAATCAATGTCGTATTTACTATTTACTGTAGTCAGGATAATCTTTAAAAACCACGTTAAAAATTAAGCCGATGTTTAGATCTAGTGATAAAAATGTAAAACTTTACAGATTTTCATTAAATGATTTTAATAATACGGATACGTTTAAGAGGGAAATTTTTATTTATTTACTTAAAAAAAAAATAACATTAAGGAACCCAAGCTATCGGTTATTTTGGTATTAAAATTTTTTCTTGTAATTAACGTAATTCTCAAAATATGTTATTAAATAACTTGATTAAAAACTTCATTTGCTTCAAAAATATAAAAAAAATTGGAAATAACAGTCGATATTTTTCAAGCCCTCAAAAGCAGGTGCCCATTTTCAAGACTTGGCAGATGCGAATGAGAAAGAAACAAAAGTGATCTGAAATATAAAATATAAAGTTACCAACAAAAAAACGGAAAAATAGAGGTGAGAAACAAATCCAGAAAAACCACAGTAACCGAGAGTGAAGAAAGATGAAAATAGAATAAAAATAATCACAATGACCGAGAGGGGCAAATCAAGGTAAAATGCATTTCCACGGGGTATGGAAAGGGAGTGAGGAACTAATGTCGTTTACAAGAAAATCAGCATTCATATGAATAAAACAAGATTCTAAGGTATCAAGCTGAGCTGTTGTGACTGATGTGGAAATAATTTTGGTATTGTCGAAATTGAATTTATGCACCAGATTCCAACAATGTGCAGCAATTGAAGATTTCTCGTTTTCTTGATAACGAACATATCTATCGTGTTGCTCATGTCTAAATTTTAGAGCTCGTCTAATGTTGCCAAAATCGCACTCACAAGGGATGTGGTAAAGCAACCGCGATTCGATTATCAAAGCTATTAGGATCTGTAAGAGACTTTAGAGCGTTTGAAACATGACGATTGTTATTTCCTATTTACATATTTTTGAAGTGAATGAAATTTTTAATTAAGTACTATTTTGCCGCTTCAATTTCTTGGGATTATTTATTTAATGTTATTAAATTGTTTAGCTGAACATATGTGCATCGACGGACATTTTTTGCTGAGAGGGGTGAACGATCACGATTTCAAATTTTCACATGTGTGTGAACCCCACAAAATAATAATAAAGCAATACACATTACTTTTGATCTAATTATTGGATTTTCATGCGTACTAAGATTCAATCTTAATGCGAATTTAAGGCAGAGGGTGCGTTTCTTGTTTTCCAGTGCTGCCATCAATGGCCAGGAATACGAATTCAGACACACACACACGTCACAAGCTGTTTATAGGGAGGCCCCATTCATACATCCATTCATTCGTCCACTGATCGTAATTTTGAAATGAACCATCAATCTCCAATTCTGTACTCCCAGAGGTATGATTTGTTATGGCAACATGGAGGACGTTGTGACCCGACAGATTTAACGTGCACCAGTCATCATTTACTGCATGGGGATTCTTCGGCTGTGGGGATCGAACTCACAACCTCTTGGACATAGGCCCAACGTCCTACCAACCAGGCTATCCCGGTGACCGGTACACACGTACAATACGCATTAAGAGCACAGAAAAAATTTAGCAACCTGAATAACTTATCTAATTTTCGTGTACTGAGAAACACTCACAAAGGAATGTAATTTAAAATATTAATTAATTAGAGCAGACGATAATTTAAGAATCAAACTCAAGAACGCACTTTCTCTAACGCCAATTTTCGTTTCTTTATACGTTACTGTGTTTTTAATCTTTTATGTGTATTTTAATCTGTATTTTTAGAATAAAAATATTTAAAAAAAGGAATTGAAAGTTCTTAAAATATTTTGGTCGTATTAAAAAGCGTTGTACTTCTTGTATAAGTTTACATTTGGCATTATTGAGCTATAAAATAAAGCTATAAAATTATTGCGATATCAAATCTTTAGTGGAGCAGCTGTACAGGCTATGGAAATTACCATTCTGAATTGTTTATCGTCTATCAAATCTATTTCATTTTATTTCTATTTATTATTTTATTGCTCTCATAATTTCAGTGTCCTACTGGCACAACACTATTTTGCTGTATTATTTAATTCTGTTAGTTAGTTCAATCATTTGATTATTATAATTCGATTTTATTTAAAAAAATTTGCTATTATTAAAAAAAAAAGATTTTAGAATAGCTAGAATGAAATCGATTATAGTCGATATATAACTCATTCTTGATTTATGACAGTAGAAGCTTTTTTGTTAGTATTAGTCGCCCTTGGCGACCCGCTTGGTCACCTTTTAAAATTATTTTGTGAAACATATAAAATTTATTGATAACCAAGCCGAATGCACTACACAATATTTTTTTTAAATATTTTAATTCTTCAATCCCTCATCCAATCCGAACAATTTAATTAGTTTTGAATAGAATATTAACCACATTTTTTTACCATTGCTATTGCTCAAATGGGAATACTGCGATTTCAATTTTAACTATTCTTAAGGGATGTCCGCGATATTGTTGAAGTACTTAATGTATTGAATTTAAGTAATAATTTAAGATCTGTCCATCAGCCATTTTAGAAAGGATCAAAAATAAATCTGAATTATTACTTCATAAGTTATTTCCTTAAAAATACAACATTATTCTAAATAAATACCTAACGTGTGATAACTATTTCACGTGTGACTAACTATTATTAATTAAGACAACCTACCAAATGAAAATTAACTACAGTGTTTCCCAAAGTGTGGTACTCGTACCCCCAGGGGTACGGGAACAGTTTAGAGGGGGTACGCGTTCTAACGCGAAATATCTTACAACAAACGAAAATTTCAAAAAATTTTATTTAGAAACAGAGCTAGCCATGAAAATTTACGATTACGTATTTTTCTATTGGCTATTTTTTACTGAATTAACAGTTAATAATTAGTGGTGTCTACAGCCAGTTGTGATTTTTAACTTTGGTGCAATTTTTTTATCACAGCAAAAACAATATCATCCTTTCACTGATGTACATGAACTTATTAATAAAACTTAGTACCAAAAAAAGAAAAATATACATTCATTTTTTTTATTAGTGGTACACAGCGTTACGAAAAATTTAGAAAGGGTACACAAGTTTGGGAAACACTGAACTACAGTGTTGCCAATAGATAGAGAAATGCGCGAGTTTATTGTGTCACATAAAAAAAATGTATATTTATTTATTTAAGTCGTAGGGACTGAAAAATGTGAAAATAATGAAATTTTCTTAAAAATATTATATTATACCTATCAATTATATAATGATATTTATTTTAGAAATCTAAGGTTTATGATTGTTTTTTTAGATGGGAGTTCTCACAACTTTTGCAATCCTAATTCATGAAATTCCCCATGAAATAGGTGATTTTGCAATCTTACTCAAATCAGGGTTCAATCCTTGGAATGCTGCCAAAGCTCAAGTAAGTATATCAATTTGCTTTTTATAAGTACACAGTATAAGAGCTGTGTAAATGATTGGTGTAACTATCCGAAATATTTATTAAGTATCACGATTTATTACTTACGTCGACAGGTGACGATATACAGTACACACCTATGCACTGATGCATGGGTATTTATTTTCCCTTTATACCAACAAAAGTCGATATGTGTTGAGGAAGTTAATTTCTCACATCGACAAAAAGTCGACATTCAGTTTGTACTGATAACATAGATTTATTTCTTACTTGCAACGGAAAAGTCGGAATTTTGAATGAAATGATGGCAGGGTTTTTAATTTCTCACTCATACCCATAAGCGTCGATATTCTATTTGATCTATATTGGTGGCAGAGTTTTTATTTCTCACTCATAACGATTAAAATCGATACTTAGTATGTTTTGATGAACAGGGTTTTTATTCCTTACACCACACCGACAAAGGTCGACATTCAGTATGTACTGATGTCTAGGACTTATTTCTCACTTACATCGAAAAAAGTCGAAATTTTGCTTGCAAGGTTTTTAAAGTCGATATTTAATGGGTTTTGATGACCAGGGATTTTATTTCTCACATCGACAAAAAGTCGACATTCAGTTTGTACTGATAACATAGATTTATTTCTTACTTGCAACGGAAAAATCGGAATTCTGAATGAAATGATGGCAGGGTTTTTAATTTCTCACTCATACCGATAAACGTCGTATTCTATTTGATCTATATTGGTGGCAGAGTTTTTATTTCTTAAAATCGATATTTAGTATGTTTTGATGAACAGGGTTTTTATTTCTTACACCACACCGACAAAAGTCGACATTTAGTATGTACTGATGTCTAGGACTTATTTCTCACTTACATCGAAAAAAGTCGAAATTTTGATTGCAGGGTTTTTAAAGTCGATATTTAATGTGTTTTGATGCTCAGGGATTTTATTTATCACACCAACAAAAGCCGACATTCAGTATGTACTGACAAGATGGATTTATTTCTCATTTACATTTACACCGAAAAAAATCTAAATTCGGTATGAAATGATGGCAGGATATGTTATAGCTGATTTATACCGACAAAAGGTGATATTCTATTCAATATCTATTGAGGGCAGGGTTCTTATATCTCACTTACAATGATTAAAGTCGATAGTCAGTATGTTTCGATGGCCAGAGTATTTATTTCACACTAACGAAAGTTGACTTTCAGTATGCACTGAAAATAGGAATTAATTTTTTTCTCACTTACATAAAAAATCAATAGGAAATTCTGTATTAACTGATACAAGGGTTTTGGTTTCTCTTTTTACACCAAAAAAGTTGCGACATTTATTCAAGTGAGAAATAAAAATCTGCTCAAATGGCAGGATTTTTATTTCTCACTTACACAGACTTAAGTCAACAATTGACGGTATGGTTTTGGTGTGAAAAATATTAACTAATTAGGGGGACCTTCAAATATTATGTAGACATATTTCTGCTGATTTTGAACCCATCTTTCCCACTTGTCAGCAACTTTCCTCTTATACTTACATGCGATGCTTATTTTTTAAAATGTAATTTTTTACCAGGAATTTAATTATTTATAATTTAAAAAATTTTTCAAAAGATGAAGGGAATTCTATGTCCCACGTAGCGAAATTAAAATGAATTAAAACTTAAATTTTATAAAATATTTAAACGGCCCTTATTTATTATTCTGGTTCATTTATTCTGCCATAAAATGCATTCTGAATATCGAATTATGCCGGATGCAATTGAAAATAATGATATTAATAATTAAATATTTCTTGCTTTCACTTATGTGTTTCGTTTGAATGTTCGATTCATCGTAGGATGCGCCTATTTCTACGACCCAAATAGTGTTTTCTAAGTATAAAACACTTGCCATTTTACCATTCTTTTGATGGAATAAAAAATTTTTTAAAATTTATAATACCAAAGGTTGAGAGATATAAACTTATCTTGTACTTACTTTTTTGTTATAGATATCGACAGCTACTATTGGTATACTTGGAGCTGTTGTAGCTTTATCTTCAGAGTCAGAAGATAAATTAGGTAATTTAAAAATAATAATAATTTCATTTTATTGTCTAAATAGAGAAAAATTTTTTACTGATGTGTGATAAAAGTAACCTAATTTTTATATTTACTAACTAGGCACGTGCACAGCGTGGATATTGCCATTTACCTCTGGAGGTTTTCTAAACATAGCTTTGGTGAATGTTTTGCCAGATATCATGAAAGAAAAAGATCCATGGTAAGAAAATTTTAAGGTCACAAAAACGAAGTCTTATGTAACCACTGCCCTTTATGTACACTTTTAATAACCTTGTTGAAAGGGAAGCCAAAAAATTTTGTGAATTAGGAGATGCAAATAAATATTTAACCGGGGAAAAAACAAAAATTTTATCTGAAACTAACAAAACACTAATGAATAAGATAGGAGTTAAAACATGTGGACCAACTTGATTACGTGATGGAAGTTAGAGTTGATTTAATAATTGACATTCAGATCTTCCCTGTTCTGGATTAATTTTTTAAATAGTGTTCTGTAGAATCGATGAAACAATCAATGATGTGAATTAAACTTTAAATTCAGATTAATATTGTTGCAGATAATCAGTGCAATGATTTGTTTAATAAAATTTTGAATTCCTTTGTTCTGCTTGAAGAAATTGATAAAACAAATTACTTGTCCTATAAAATTTATGGCTAAGGTAAATTAATCAAATGATTTGTTTAATTCTCGTTTCAAAGAATTGATAAAATAAATTGTTTGTTTGTAGAACTTTTGAATCAATTTACTTTGTTTTAGATAATCGATAAAACAAATGATTTGCTCAGTAAAATTTTGAATTCATATTTAAAAAAGTTTTAAAAAATCAATGAAACAAATGATTTGTTTAACAGTATTTTAAATTAAATTTCATTTGAGGAAATCTATGAAGTGAATGCAAATGTAGAAAAAAGAAGCAAATAACAGTAGATAGATTTTAAAGAAGGAGGAGTGCAAGTAAAAATGTTTATAATTGATTAACCTATTTACATAAAAGCATTTAAAGTAAATGTAAAGTCGAGATAAGGAGAATGGGTTGCACATATGTTGTAACTCTTTGATGACCTTTCATGATTACATCTGTAGTAACGATAGCTTCATGTGAGATCATGGCATTTGCGAGTATTGGATTTGGGAGTTTCGATTCTAATAACCGCCTTTTCTGGAAATTTCTACATTTTGTACTGTGTTCACCATACAAAGCAACAATTCAACAACAAATTATCGCATTATGCGCACCTTCTACCTTTGGAAATTGTGCATTGTTCTAAACACATTCAGCACGACTTTATATTCACTTTACATGCTTTCATACGAAGTGGTTAATCAGTTATATGCATTCTGCAAAGCACTCTCTTTACCTTAAATTGAAGTATGAAAAGTTGACAATATATAGGGCAAAATTAATGGATTAAATCAGTATTAAGGTGATTAAATCTAACAAAAAGTGATAAAAAAATTGTCCGGTATCTCCACCTTTTTTTTTTGTTGCAGAAAATGCATCCTAAGTACATTTTACTACTATATATTCTGACGTATAAGTCGCCTTTTTGGTACTATCTGATGCTATCTCGCATTTTCTCTTTTTATTTATACAACCCTCAAAATATTTTGAAGCTAATTTTATTTCAATGAATTAACAAGACAAATAATTTGTTTAACAAAGTTTTTAAATTTTGTTCTAGGGAATCGATGAAGCAAATGGCCTGTTTGTGCGGAGGTATCGGAGTGATGGGCTTAATTAATTTGCTAGTACACTAGTCAACAGCTGTGATTGAAAAGAAAAGCAGCTGTCAGAATATCATTTGGAACATCTTCTGTTTCAAGAGGTTCAAATATTCAACAGATTTAAATCTGAGGGCAACTAAATTTTTTTTATTGTTTTTTTTTAAAACATATCATTTAATGTGATTTTTTATCATATTTGTTTAAAATAAATTGAATGAGGTTATAATTCTATCCAAAATATAATCTAATTCATACCCATAAGCGTCGATATTCTATTTGATCTATATTGGTGGCAGAGTTTTTATTTCTCACTCATAACGATTAAAATCGATACTTAGTATGTTTTGATGAACAGGGTTTTTATTCCTTACACCACACCGACAAAAGTCGACATTCAGTATGTACTGATGTCTAGGACTTATTTCTCACTTACATCGAAAAAAGTCGAAATTTTGCTTGCAAGGTTTTTAAAGTCGATATTTAATGGGTTTTGATGACCAGGGATTTTATTTCTCACATCGACAAAAAGTCGACATTCAGTTTGTACTGATAACATAGATTTATTTCTTACTTGCAACGGAAAAATCGGAATTCTGAATGAAATGATGGCAGGGTTTTTAATTTCTCACTCATACCGATAAACGTCGTATTCTATTTGATCTATATTGGTGGCAGAGTTTTTATTTCTTAAAATCGATATTTAGTATGTTTTGATGAACAGGGTTTTTATTTCTTACACCACACCGACAAAAGTCGACATTCAGTATGTACTGATGTCTAGGACTTATTTCTCACTTACATCGAAAAAAGTCGAAATTTTGATTGCAGGGTTTTTAAAGTCGATATTTAATGTGTTTTGATGCTCAGGGATTTTATTTATCACACCAACAAAAGCCGACATTCAGTATGTACTGACAAGATGGATTTATTTCTCATTTACATTTACACCGAAAAAAATCTAAATTCGGTATGAAATGATGGCAGGATATGTTATAGCTGATTTATACCGACAAAAGGTGATATTCTATTCAATATCTATTGAGGGCAGGGTTCTTATATCTCACTTACAATGATTAAAGTCGATAGTCAGTATGTTTCGATGGCCAGAGTATTTATTTCACACTAACGAAAGTTGACTTTCAGTATGCACTGAAAATAGGAATTAATTTTTTTCTCACTTACATAAAAAATCAATAGGAAATTCTGTATTAACTGATACAAGGGTTTTGGTTTCTCTTTTTACACCAAAAAAGTTGCGACATTTATTCAAGTGAGAAATAAAAATCTGCTCAAATGGCAGGATTTTTATTTCTCACTTACACAGACTTAAGTCAACAATTGACGGTATGGTTTTGGTGTGAAAAATATTAACTAATTAGGGGGACCTTCAAATATTATGTAGACATATTTCTGCTGATTTTGAACCCATCTTTCCCACTTGTCAGCAACTTTCCTCTTATACTTACATGCGATGCTTATTTTTTAAAATGTAATTTTTTACCAGGAATTTAATTATTTATAATTTAAAAAATTTTTCAAAAGATGAAGGGAATTCTATGTCCCACGTAGCGAAATTAAAATGAATTAAAACTTAAATTTTATAAAATATTTAAACGGCCCTTATTTATTATTCTGGTTCATTTATTCTGCCATAAAATGCATTCTGAATATCGAATTATGCCGGATGCAATTGAAAATAATGATATTAATAATTAAATATTTCTTGCTTTCACTTATGTGTTTCGTTTGAATGTTCGATTCATCGTAGGATGCGCCTATTTCTACGACCCAAATAGTGTTTTCTAAGTATAAAACACTTGCCATTTTACCATTCTTTTGATGGAATAAAAAATTTTTTAAAATTTATAATACCAAAGGTTGAGAGATATAAACTTATCTTGTACTTACTTTTTTGTTATAGATATCGACAGCTACTATTGGTATACTTGGAGCTGTTGTAGCTTTATCTTCAGAGTCAGAAGATAAATTAGGTAATTTAAAAATAATAATAATTTCATTTTATTGTCTAAATAGAGAAAAATTTTTTACTGATGTGTGATAAAAGTAACCTAATTTTTATATTTACTAACTAGGCACGTGCACAGCGTGGATATTGCCATTTACCTCTGGAGGTTTTCTAAACATAGCTTTGGTGAATGTTTTGCCAGATATCATGAAAGAAAAAGATCCATGGTAAGAAAATTTTAAGGTCACAAAAACGAAGTCTTATGTAACCACTGCCCTTTATGTACACTTTTAATAACCTTGTTGAAAGGGAAGCCAAAAAATTTTGTGAATTAGGAGATGCAAATAAATATTTAACCGGGGAAAAAACAAAAATTTTATCTGAAACTAACAAAACACTAATGAATAAGATAGGAGTTAAAACATGTGGACCAACTTGATTACGTGATGGAAGTTAGAGTTGATTTAATAATTGACATTCAGATCTTCCCTGTTCTGGATTAATTTTTTAAATAGTGTTCTGTAGAATCGATGAAACAATCAATGATGTGAATTAAACTTTAAATTCAGATTAATATTGTTGCAGATAATCAGTGCAATGATTTGTTTAATAAAATTTTGAATTCCTTTGTTCTGCTTGAAGAAATTGATAAAACAAATTACTTGTCCTATAAAATTTATGGCTAAGGTAAATTAATCAAATGATTTGTTTAATTCTCGTTTCAAAGAATTGATAAAATAAATTGTTTGTTTGTAGAACTTTTGAATCAATTTACTTTGTTTTAGATAATCGATAAAACAAATGATTTGCTCAGTAAAATTTTGAATTCATATTTAAAAAAGTTTTAAAAAATCAATGAAACAAATGATTTGTTTAACAGTATTTTAAATTAAATTTCATTTGAGGAAATCTATGAAGTGAATGCAAATGTAGAAAAAAGAAGCAAATAACAGTAGATAGATTTTAAAGAAGGAGGAGTGCAAGTAAAAATGTTTATAATTGATTAACCTATTTACATAAAAGCATTTAAAGTAAATGTAAAGTCGAGATAAGGAGAATGGGTTGCACATATGTTGTAACTCTTTGATGACCTTTCATGATTACATCTGTAGTAACGATAGCTTCATGTGAGATCATGGCATTTGCGAGTATTGGATTTGGGAGTTTCGATTCTAATAACCGCCTTTTCTGGAAATTTCTACATTTTGTACTGTGTTCACCATACAAAGCAACAATTCAACAACAAATTATCGCATTATGCGCACCTTCTACCTTTGGAAATTGTGCATTGTTCTAAACACATTCAGCACGACTTTATATTCACTTTACATGCTTTCATACGAAGTGGTTAATCAGTTATATGCATTCTGCAAAGCACTCTCTTTACCTTAAATTGAAGTATGAAAAGTTGACAATATATAGGGCAAAATTAATGGATTAAATCAGTATTAAGGTGATTAAATCTAACAAAAAGTGATAAAAAAATTGTCCGGTATCTCCACCTTTTTTTTTTGTTGCAGAAAATGCATCCTAAGTACATTTTACTACTATATATTCTGACGTATAAGTCGCCTTTTTGGTACTATCTGATGCTATCTCGCATTTTCTCTTTTTATTTATACAACCCTCAAAATATTTTGAAGCTAATTTTATTTCAATGAATTAACAAGACAAATAATTTGTTTAACAAAGTTTTTAAATTTTGTTCTAGGGAATCGATGAAGCAAATGGCCTGTTTGTGCGGAGGTATCGGAGTGATGGGCTTAATTAATTTGCTAGTACACTAGTCAACAGCTGTGATTGAAAAGAAAAGCAGCTGTCAGAATATCATTTGGAACATCTTCTGTTTCAAGAGGTTCAAATATTCAACAGATTTAAATCTGAGGGCAACTAAATTTTTTTTATTGTTTTTTTTTAAAACATATCATTTAATGTGATTTTTTATCATATTTGTTTAAAATAAATTGAATGAGGTTATAATTCTATCCAAAATATAATCTAATTAAATATCTTTTAAAAAATTCATTAAATTTATGTTGCATTTATTTTTTTGAAAAATATATACATTTTAACATATTACTATTTATTAAAATTAAAGATATTTAATGGTATCNAATTTTTTCTTCTTGAGTATATTAAAATTAATTTTATTCTTTCAGTAATAATATTCTCAAAGAATATAAGTAAATTATATTCTTTCAGTAATATTTTTTACAAAATATTTATTTTCTCCCTCCCCCCCAATAGTTGCATAAATCTTTTGCTCAATAATGTAATATTAAGCAAAATCTTTTGATCTTTATATACATTCATTTTCATGTTTTTATTGAAAAAGGTATTTTACAAAATCCTCAAATGTTGGAGGATTTGACGAAATCAATCAGTTTGTATCATCTCTAATTTTAATACAATCCTTGCCAACTTCTCCTGCTGACTGAGGAACAACCATTCAGCATCAAAACTGGAAAAAGCTTTAATATATTTTATGTTAGTTTTTCCTTATTCAGCAAACTATTTATCTTTCAGAAGTTGCTATTTTGTTTTTGATACTCAGCATTCGTTGTTTTTCTTAAGTTTCACAACCAAAATACTGACCTTAACATTCCATTGCTATTAGAATAACCTTCATATACATAAAAAATCTTTCCTCTTTTCACACTATTTTTGTTATAAAATTAAAAATTTGATTTCATTTTTTTAATTTTTTTATGCTTTTAACTCTTTAAGCATTAAACCCTTGGGTAAAATTGAACAAAAATTTTCTTGATACACACTATCTTTCCATTCAATAAACCAGTTTTTTTGCTGCAGGAAAGTCTGTCTCTTAAAGTTCAGGAAAAGCTGGGGCTCAAAGGATTAAACTTTCAATGATAGAGAATTATTCTACAGAACCTTACCTTTTTAGAAAAACATGCGAAAATGAGGGTAACCCCTTTATTACAAAATAACACATGAAAACTAAAAAAATTTCTGATATTTTTGTACCCTAAAAATTTAAGGGAATAAAGCTGTGCAATTATGTAGTAGTTTTTGAATCTGTAATATGATTTTAATAAAAAATATCAGCCTTTTTAAGTAACTTAATAAGTAGTATTCACTTATAAACAAAAAATAATTTCAAAAGCAATGTATACTCTTAATATAGAATGAATATATGCATACAGGTTTTAAAAAAATGACATATCAAGGATATTTTTTAAAATTGGCTTATGAAACAAACCTCTCATAAAAAAACATAATATTTTCAGTTGAATATTAATTCATAATACTATATATTTTGGTATAATTATAAAATGTAATAATTACATAAGAAAAATATGCATAACATTGTAAACAACAAATAAATCTATTTTTTATCTGAAATTTTTCTCATAAAATAAATTTCAAATACCTCTTATAGTTTCTATAACTATCATTAAAGAAAAAATTCTGAATTAAATAAAAAATCAGTATGAACATTTTAACAACATGATGAAAATTTATCATATTCTTTCAACAACTGGTATAATTTTAAATAGGTCTTATTATTTCTAAATAAGCAGCACTAAAACTGAACAAAATATATTTACCTGCATTATAGCCATAGCTAACATACAATTCATAGCTATTCTAGCTCTTGGGGGCAAGGGAAGTTTCCGTGAATACCACCATAATCCGCTTACAGCACAAAATACTGTTTCGCCCTAAAAAGCAGATTTTACAATTAATAAAAGCATGCATCTGATAACTAGCTGAAATAATATATTGAAACATTATACAGTATTTTAAATAATACTAAAAATAAAAAAAGTCCAAAATAGTTTGCGAACTTACTTACTTTTTTGCACTAGAATCCATGAAGGACATGATAACAGAAATCTAAACTTTTCTACCCTCTTTCCTTTTTATAGTTAGTAATTTTGATGAATTTATCATTTATCTCGTTCAACTTCATCAAGTCATCATTTCTTGGATCTTCCAATGCTTCTTTTTCCTGATATTTTCTCCAAAAATGCCTTTTTTGTACTCTGTTCAATCTCATAAATTTATCAATTGCCCACCTGTCCAGTCCTTTTGCTATCACGATGTTAACAATTTCTTTATACAGCCACTCAGTTTTTAAATTTATTTGAATTCTCCAAACATCCTTCATGAATCTGAATATTTTTCCTAGAATCTTTCTTTCCCATGTTGAAAGTAATTTTTCTTCACATTGTGTAGTAGTCTAGGTTTTACTTTCATAAATTAAAGCCAGTTTCAAAGCTGTTTTGCAGATTTTTAGTTCAAATGTACAAGATATTAAAGGCGAAGTTCGATTAATTTAATTTTTCTAAATACATTATTTGTAAAAACAACAATTACAAAGACTTTTCCCCTGTCTTATAATGAATAAAATGCTTGTTCATAATGAGTAAAAAAAGACTGCCTAAAATACTGTCTAAATTACTAATAATTTATAAGCAATCTCGATATATTTTTCTTTGTCTGGTTTTGTCACTTAATTAGTAGTGAGCACTAATTAATTAGCTTGTTTGTATTCAACACTTTGAGCCATTGAAATTTGTTTTAAATTGGTAAAAAAAAGTTCAGTTTCATTTGAACAAAAGTTATTCAGGTTTATGTATATATATAGTTCACTGTAAATGTTATATGCTTATATAGGATACATTACTTTGTAATATATAATTAAATGTGGACATTGGATTACTAAATACAAATGATGCTTATTAATACGCTTTTCTTTTGAAATCTGGATTTCTACACAAAGTTTGTTTCTCAGTTTACACTAAAATTTTGTACTTATAAGAAATTTAATTTTTTCATTGCTAATAACTTATTATTAGAGGAAGTAAAATTGAAGATCCTTACTTTAATAAAATAGAAATTTGAAACAATTAGAGCTATTTAAAAAGTTTTTTAGCTTAAACTTTGCATTTTAATTAGTTTTAAAAAAAACATTTATTCCTCAACAGAATTAAAATTTTATTAAACAATTTTAGACAAAACTACAGTTTCTAGTCAATCTCTGTGGAAGTTATTTTGCTACAAAATAACTTAGAAATTGTGCAGATCAAAATATAATTTCATTTCAAACGCTTAAGAAAATAATATGGCCAGGATAGCCTGGTTGGCAGGGCGCTGGACTCACATTTGTGAAAGGGAGTTCGAATCCAGCCAGCCGAAGATTTCCCGTGTAGTATATGGTGACTGGTGCAGGTTAAATATGTTGGGTCACAAAGTCTTAATTGTTCCCATAACAAATTAATACTTCTGGTGGTTCTGAATTGGAGATTGGTCGTTCGCTGGTTCAGGTCAAAATTACAATCTGTGGTCTAATGAATGGGTTCGCCCTATAAACGGGTGTGGTGTATAGGTGTGGCAGAAGTCGAATTCTTGGCCATAGATGGCGCCACTTGAAAACAAGAACAACCGAACCCTTTCTGACTTAATGGACGACAACAAAAACAACAGCAATACACGAAAATAATATTGCATTAATACAAGAAAAAGCACTTGTACATTTAAGCATTTCCTTCTGACATAAAAAGGGATTCAACTTTATCCAAAACATAAAAAAGGGATTTATATCTAAAGTTTCTGAGCACCAAGTGAGCACAGCTTTAACGATAATTTTTTATAGTACAAGTTAAGCTTTCCCTTTTAATAATTTTGATCGTATAACATTTCTTAATCTATTAAGAAAACGATTGGCAACAATGCCTTAATTTATCTTGGTCTCTAAATTGTTCTAACTATCCACACGTTTGAGCCAAGGTAGTTGAGGTTTGGTTCTTTAGATTTCCTAACGGAAGAAATTTTAAAGGATGGGGTTGTAAAACCTACTCCCAAACTGGAGAACCAGGGTGTTACTTTTTGTCTAGTACCTTCACAATATAAATTATATTAACATAATTTTCCATATTTATTCAGTAAATAATTAGCACATTTTGCTTCATTTTAATCAATGGAAATTCAATGAAAATTTTAAATACCTGCAAAAATTTCAAAAAGTTTTAGAAATGTTTACAACTTTAAAATTTGGTAACTAGAAACAATAGAACACATTTTAATGAGTAAAATGAAGCAAAAAATATTAATTATTAACTTATTATTATCAATAATAAAATAATAACTTAAAAAACATAGGTATCATTTATCATTGAAATACGAATTTTAATAAACAAATAAAGAAACTAAAATATACCAGTATCCGATGATTGAATTGTGTTGTAGTAGGATTCTCGGTTATATTCCTCCATTTTGGTGAGAAAGCCGCAATGTCTGAAGGTATCCATCTGTCGGCCATTTTGGGAAAAGAATTGTATACAAGACCTGCTTCAATGCCAGCAACAAATGCACCTTTCAAGAACAAATAAGATTACAAATTTAAAAGTAGTCACAGTCTTATTAGATGGAGGCATTTATTTCATTAATTTTCAACATATACTATTGCACAATATGGTAATAAAAGCAAATTTTTTCTTTCTACAAAAAAGGAAATTGATAATTATATTCTATAGTACTGTCCCACCATTACAGCAATCCTTTCATTATAATTACTAAAATATTAAATTTCCTTTGTTATTTTATTGATGCAATGTTGTTTTAAAGTCCATTAGAAAGTACACACTGAACTGTTAATTTCAAAATAGAGACAGAAATTTATTTCCAATTTTTTTCATTCCCAGGAAAATCACTTTGTAAATGGGAGTCAAGTATTTTTGCACATACAAAACAAAATTCATCCTTTGACTTTACAAAGAAATTATTTAAATTCTTTTTATCTAGATGATCATGATATATGATCAAAATATTAAAGAAATTTAGATTACTTTAGTTTATAACTAAAATTGTATATTGAACCAACAAGCGAAAAACAGCATGAAGATAAAATCATGATTTAGATAAAAATGAAACATTTTCTGCAAACACAAAATCTGAGAAAAACTTTCTGCAAACAAATTCATTGACTCCGACAACTAGTTTCAACTTTTTTACCACATACTAATTTTGACAAAATGTGCACAAAAATCACTTTTAAAAGTGTTTTAATTTAAAAAAACTATATTGATAATTATACATTTCACCAAATAGTTTTCCCCCTTCAAATTAGCAGGATTTTGAAGATATAAAATGAGTTAATGAATTACTTTGTTTTCTTTAATGCTTGACTTAATTTGTGTATAGAAATGTTCACTCAGCTTAATTACTCGAAATTAACAACCGACTAAGTAAAATCATAATAATTTTTATACTCAAACTACAACAAGAGTTGTAATTAAATTTCATTATTTATATATACCTATTGCATATTTAAGTTATAAAAGTGTTTGTATTTTGTATTAAAGAATGTTAAAGTTAAATGAGTTTCATTAAATAGCAAATTATTTGATATACATTAAATGGAAAATTGTAATTTAAAAGATTCATGAAACATTTTTCCATATTTATTTAGTTTTAATCTATTTTGATAATGAAATAATAATTAACAAACAACTCCTTTAAATATTTCCCTAGATAAAATCTTCAGATACCAATAAAATCAGACTTAAAAATTGAAAGAATAAAAATCACAACCTTAAGAATATAGTCATTATACTGTATGAAACTATTTTAAACTTAAATTATGGCTTTTGAAAAAAAGAGCAGTTTACTTAAATAGTTTATCAGTTAATTTAACAGATCAATAATTTTCTTTTAAAAAAATCAAGTTATTTAAATCATGTTCTATTTCAAATGGTACTTGTTCGTATTGTATTAAAATATTAACAAGTATCATAAATATAATTCTGTTAATTTCCTAAGTCTAAATTAAGTATAACATTGTTTTATCCAAATTAGTCTGGTGCTTAATAGTTATAGTTATGAGAAAAAATTAATATTTTCGCGCATGAACGAAATCAAGTTAAGAAGTCTGACATTGTATAGACAACAGAATCATTATATCAAGCATCAATTACATTTAATAATTTCAATATAATAAATTATTTAATACGCAATTTCTATAAAAACAATTTCAAGTAAATTTATATTAAAGTAACACTCATTTTTTTTTAAATTTTATTAAATACTCTTAAGAAAAGATGGTAATAAAAAAACAGTATAATTAATAAATAATTTTGCCAAGGTTTAAATGAGGAACATAAAGTACACAATTAAATGTTTAGTCTAGTAAGCAGGTTTTATATTTACCTAACTTTATATATTTTAGTAGAAAATGGTTTATCAAACAGCACACCACCTATGCCATGTGTGCCATTATGATGGCATGTGACAAGTATCTCAATGGCATTTGAGAAGTACACATTAAGTACTTTTATTCATTAATGCTTATAGAAAACAACATTTAAAAAAAACTCTTTAACTAGTAATTAAAGTAGTTTGATTAAAAAACAAGCACGATTTGGGAGCTATTATGACATTTCCCAGGAAGTCTAAACTATCCTCTCAACTTAAGATTGGCAGTTGATGTTTTACAGGAGAATTATTTTTCTCGGAAAATACGTGAGTGCAAAATTAGATCTATATAGATAACCCAAACTAAATTGAAAATTAAGAAAAAATATCCAATATTAGAAGTGCATAATTTTATGGCACGTTTTTTCAACTATAAGTTCTATATAATCAACTGTAAAAAACAGCTCTGTTTCAGATTTAGATTTAAGTTAATATTATGAGTATTATTGTCGACAAGTTATTGCTATAGAAGGATTTAGTAGGTTTTATTGAATTTAAAAGGATAAAGAAATCCATGTGGTTCTTCATTAATTGCTGTTTGATAATTTAATAGGTTTTAAAGACATAAACAGATAAAGAAGAAATACTGAACTCCTTTAATTGCTAATGGGAGACTAGGTAATTGCTAATTGAGGATTTAGTAGCTTTTAAAAGGTTTAAATGGATCAAGATATCTTGCACACCTCTATTAATTGCTATTAGAGAATTTAGTAGGTTTCAAATAGATAAAGAAAAAATCATGTGCTCCTTCGTTAATTGACATTGAAGGAGTAGGTAATTGATATTGGAGGATTTAGTAGGTTTTAAAAGGTTCAATTGGATAAAGGAGAAACCCTACACACCTGTGTTAATTGCTAGTGGAGAATTCAGTAGGTTTTTAATGATTTAAAGGAATAAAAAAGAAATCTTGCACTCCTGTTTTAATTGCTATTCCAGGATTTAGTAGGCTTTAAAGGGCTTAATTGGAAAAAGAAAAAATCCTACACTTCTTCGTTAATTGTTATTGGAGAAGTAGGTAGTTTCTAGTGAAGGATTTAGTAGGTTTTAAAGGGTTTACATGGATAAAAAAGAAATGCTGCACATCTTCGTTAATTGCTGTTAGAGCAAATGGTAATTGCTATTGGACAATTTAATAGGTTTTAAAGGAATTAAATTGACGAAGAAATCGCACAAACGTTCCTTTTAAGGCTGCACATCCTTTTAGGTAAATAATAATAGTATTATTAAATGATTGCACACTTACCACTGAATGCAGTTAAGAAGATAAGGCCTTTTGTACCATGAGCAAACCGCCTGAATTTTGAAAGTTTCTGTGAAAATTCAATAGGTTTTGGAGGTAAAAGTAGACTCAGTCCAGACCATAGCATAAGACTATATACAGCAAAGGCCATACCAAGATGAGCAGCCAAGCGATACTGGCTAACTCGGGCAACACCATCTGGTTCAGGATTTTCTTTCAGACCACTTTTAACCATGTACCAACCAAGCAAACCCTAAGAGATAAAATAATTAAAAACAGTTAAGAGTATTTAAAATGGTAAAAATTTTATGGTAAATAGAAAATATAATTAGAAGTTGGGTGAAGCAAGAGATGCAAGAAAGAATAAATAAAATATGAAATTATATTCAAGTTTTCATAACATTTGTTATATTTAAGGGTATAATTTTGGTACTATTATTTGGAAAATTATATAACATAAAGAAATTGAAAATAGAACATTAAAAAAAATTATGAATAAAAACAATGATCGATTAATAAAATTGCGTAAAAATATGCACAAGACTAAGTCATTAATTCAATACATGTTAAACTAAAGAAAATATAATATTTATTAAAATTTTTATTAAGGTTTTTTTAAAAAAACTGACGTACTAACTCATCCGTGAGTTTATTGTGTGCTTACAAAAATGTACACAACACGAAATGCGTGTTTACAAAAATGATCACGGCTCAAAATGTGTGTTAAAGAAAAGAAAGATGGTTGTTTAAAAAAAAATGGACATAGCCTTTGATTCTGGTTTTTAAACTTCTTTTATGAGTATTGTTCCTTTTTTAAAAGAATAAACTAATAAATCCAAATAAATTCGGAATGTAATATTGTACCTTTGAATTAAATATTTGGTACATTTTATTAAATAGGTCTTTTTTTAAAAAGACTTTCAAAGTTGCGTTTACAAGGTAGCCACGGGTGATATAAGTTTATAATAGTGGTAGTAAATTCATGGTGCAACAATTCAAGAGTTTCAAAATTCAATTTATCGTTTAGAGTTCTGAATACCGGATAAGTTAAATCTGTAATATACCTAGCCACTCCTATTGCCAATTTGTGACTATGTTGCATTATGATTACACTTATTTTTTAAAAATTAAAAAAGAAAAGCAGAAAATTCTTCGTTTAGTTGTTTATTTGGTTTAGAAACTGAAAAAGAGCATTTTAAACTGTGCACATTATCATAAACCCGCAATTTGAGCCAAACCACATTTTCGTAAATGTGCATTAGAGCTTAGTAAATTTTAGCAAATACGCATTTTGAGTTGTATCTATTGTTGTAAACAAGCATTTCAAACTGTATTTTTGTAAACTTCATGCATTTTGAGCTATGTCCAGACTTAAAAACTCACCGATTAACTCTTTTTCAAATTATAAATTAAAGCACTTTGAGTACACTCGAACTATTTTGGTAGGCATTTTGGGGTGTATATTCAGTTCTTTTTCATATAAGTAATTACATTTTTTTTCCAATGGCAGGCACTGAATTTTAATCTTTGCCTATGAAGATGCCGAAATTGTTACTCATTTAGCGTTACCCAGTGGGTCACAAACCTGTTTATAGGGTGGGCCACATTCACACATCGCACAACAGAGGACAGCACAAAGAGAGAAACATCCTTGCCCAGAGCGGGATTCGAACCCGCAGCCAATGGCTTCGTAGTCAGGCCACTAACCGCTCGGCCACCTGGCCGGCAAATTTCTTTTTAATTAATATAATATTTTCCCATTAGTCTCTTCTCAAAATAATTTGTGCCATTCTAGTCATATCAAAAGTTTTAAAGAATTATATTAGTGTCAACATTAAATTATTGGTGCTGTCAAACAATTTTTTACACCACTGCGGCCTTTGAAAACTCTTTCCCCTCCTTTTGAAAAGGTTGCGCTCTCTAGTCCACATTTCTAAATTTTTAATTGAATATATAATATATTAAATACATTAATAGATTATAAAACTTTTTGATTGGTGTAATCTCATGATTAAATAAAGAAAGCAAAACAGTTTATACCAAGTAGTGAAATTTACAATTTAAACAAGTTGAGAATGTATCATTATGACTTAACAGTAGTTAGATCATATACCTGTCCTAAAATTAAAGAGCCAAATATCAAAACTCTTTTTTGCATTGGTCCTGAGAGCCATTTCTTCTTCCAAAAATAGATAGCTGGCAGCAAGAAGGCAGCTCCTACTGCTCGCCCCCACATTCTGTGAGTATACTCCATGTACCAGATAAATTTGAACTCTTCTAATGTCATATCACAATTGTTCCTAATAAAATCAATTAAAGTTTAAAATATACAGGGAGCTATTAATATATGCATACTCAATGTATAAAATATACACAATCTAAAAAAAGGAGCTTTTAGTTCCGCAAAAACTTTTATGCACCTCAAAATAATCAAATGTGACCAGTATTGATTCAAGACACACCACGTGATTAAAAAAAAAATTGATGCCTGTAATTAAAAACAGACTTTCAATTAAAACGTTAGAAGCTTTTTTAAAGAAGCCAAAAGATTAGTTGGTTTTTATTGATCTGAGAGTTAAAATTTGAGCTAAAAACTATTAAAAAGAGATTTTGGCAAAGTTCTTTGGTTCAATCTTAAAACTATGTATGGAGACAAATATTTTTCTGATTCCAAGATGATGTTCTTTTGCACACTGCAAAATTTGTTAAACATAGATGCCAGAGAATTAGCTTTATTTTCCATTAAAAAAATAAATGGTTCAAAAAACTCTACAGATTTAAATCTGTTAGATTATTCTGCTTGTGGGATCACACAAATAAAACAGAAAGATGTTTAATTTGCAAATTTGAACCAATTTTGAAGTAATGGAATATTCTTATGGATGATGTCTGTGTTTTTGTAGTTGCAGATCCCCAAACTCAGCAGGGCTAAATAAGGCCCATGATTTTGTGCACCCTAAAAAAAGTCCAATAACATCACAGGATTGTCCATCATAGCTTGTCTAACAAGCCCCAGGCAAGCAAGGATGTGGTCAGGGGGCGCCCATTCATTGTAGCAGATGGTGCAGGTATCAAAGCATCTGGAACCACCTGAATATTTTAAAGATCTCCAGTGACCACTGCAATGTCTGTGTTTTTTGTACTAGTGTAACATCACATCACCTACGCACACCTTACTTTTAATTTTTACCCTTCCCCAATGTGCTCATAAACTTTTCCTGTTTTGAATCTCTGGAAAATGCAGCACCTGAAAGTCCGCTTCTTTTGCATGTGAGTGACCATGAAGGATGAGTCAAAATTATTTTAGCTCTATAGGGGTAATTATAATTGTTTTAACTCGGATGGTACATCTCTTTGTGGGCAGAAAGAACCTACTGATGACTGCCAAGCAAAAAAATAAGGGTAAAAATTAAAGACTCTATAAAAATGATTTATTTTTGATTCATGGCATGAAAGCAACCTTACTGAAGTTATCTTAAACAATAAGTTTATTGTATTTATAGCTACATTTTTTAAAAATGTTTTTAAAAAAGTTAACTAAAATGCAAAAGTTATGGAGTTTAATGAACTAAAGTGCAAAAGTAACGGAGAAATTGTTTGATTATGATAATCTTCGGATGTAATCAATAACATCTTTTTTTTAATTCTGAGTATTAGTATTCTTTATTTTCATGATCTAAATTTCTAAAAATCTATTTTGCTAAATACAATAACATAAAGTCTTGGGGAAAAACAACAAACAACAATAATAATAAATTTACATTATTTTAGATTTTTCAATTGTGTTTTCATATTGTTAATTTATACTGATTTGAGAACGAGTATTCAATTAGGGCAACAAAACAACAATAATTATTATTTGAAATCATTTTTGCGTTTTCTATTGTGTTCGTATGTCTTTCCGTTTTGTAGCATATTGCTGATTAACACTGATTTTAGAAAAAGCATTCAGTTAGTAAATTATAAATACAACTCACTTACTGCTTAAACTCTGGAAATTTTTTGTATTTTTCAAATTCTAAAACCCACGCTTCTCTTGACATCGGAGGAAATTCTTTAAAAAGATGCCAGTCAACCATGGATAAACCAGATTTTGTGAGCCTTTAAAACATGAATAAATTAAACAAGATAAAAGAAATGTTGAACTTAAAAATTGCTTAGAATTAAAGTCAAATAAACTAAGCAGCCTATTTCATATTTACCTAGTAACACCACCAAGAATCACTGAACCAATAACCATACCACTACAGCAAATGAGCCATGTTCCAACATACTGAGAAGCCTTCGCAGATTGTGTTACAACAGCAGCCTGGGCTGTCGAAACTGTTTGTCTAGTTGCAGTTAGAGTTAATCTTTTTAGATTCTATGAGATACAATAAAATAAATTATATTGACAAAAAATTGCTTAATATAATCAATAAACAATTTAGTTACTTATAACATTATAATAATCAAAAAGAAAACATGCATCTATATTCAAGAAAAATGCGTTGTGTGACTATGTTGGCAAGTCATTTGCTTCTCTGGCAGAGAAGGCACAGAATATTTTAGATTTTTCAAGAAGAGAAGCTGTAGAACTTTTTCGTCTTTTTACAGGTTATGACTGTTAACCTTCTTATCTGCACAGGCCCAAGATTTGGGGTTCTCCTTTTGCCACTTGGGTGGAAAAAAGCATATCTTTGATTCCAAAGGACTTGACATTTATGTTTTTAAGCTATAAAATTCAGAGTTAAAAAGGGAAAATGAACTAATAGAGCAATTGCCAACCTACAGAGCATTAGTAATAGATAAACGATGTAATAATAATAATCTAAAGCAAATAAATTTCTAAAAGGTTTAATTACTAACATTAACTTTTTGAGTGAATCTGCTATATTTTAGGAATGTTATGTAAAACACAAAATTTACATTTAACATGCTGTCATTTATGAGGCAAAATAGTTCTTAAGGCTTGACAATAGTTCAGTTTTGGTTGTTATTTGTTAATGTTACACTTAAGCTACACTAATGGGTTATTAGTGACAAATATAAATTTAAATTATGAGTGCTTTGAGACATCGCAATAAAACGTTTTTAAACTTTTTAAATTTACTACTATTATGTAAAACATATTGATATATTTCTATGGCAGTTGCAATTGGCCAAATAACATTTTTTTCTACAAATGAATAATTATTATAATTTTGTCTTTGATAAAATTGTATTTAGCAAATATAATTAGCTAAAGACTGGTATTGGATAAATGACATATTTTCTGATGACATATAATCATATATAATTTAGTAGTATGAATAGTATTAAATTTTTGGACCTTAGTGAAATTGTAACAGGCAACAGGTGTTTTATTAATTAGCAACTGTAACTGCATACTGTAATTGTACAAACAATACTTTCTTTATGATATTTGTAACATGTAAAATTATAAATTTTCTGTGGCAGTCAAAACTTAATTCATTAGAATAAGAAAAAAATAGACAAAAAATAAGACTCAATACAAGAATATGATTAAAAATAAGACTTCATCAGAATGAGAAAAATATTGTAATTTCATATTTCATAATATGATTAAATTATGATGATAGATTTTTTGTAGTATTTATAATTTGTTGGAATAAATATTGCTAAAATTTCACATTTAATGAAATAAAATACAAGCTCTAGGAGCACATTAACAATTAAACTTTTTAATATCTATGCATAAAAATTTTACAAAGATCCATAATATCTATGGACATGCTCAAACATGATGATTTCATCATAAATCCAAGTGGTTTTGTTAGTATAGTTTTTTTTAAAGCAATTATTGCAGATGACAGTGTAAAATCATTCATTTGTACACAAAAGTTAGTTAATGACTTTTAATGCAATCAATTGGTGGTAATTGGATAGAATAAAAATAGAAAACCCATTGTTGAAAACTTCAAAACTGTTTGCTGCAAAAGTACATAAAATTAATTAAATTTATTTATTAGCAAACATCTACTCTTATCGTTATTTTTTATTAATTTATTTTTAATATATGATATGAAATTAAAAATTGTTTGTCCGGTTTTGCTTTTTGCAATGCCTTGCACATGAATTAATGTATCAAAAATTAAAAAAATATAGTTGAAATTTAAGCATGAATAATAAATTTTATATCATAGCAATTGTTCAATAATTAACATGAAAAAGCATTCTTTGGACATTATTCTCAAGACCCTAAATGTTTTCAGAAGAACAGCCTGCCCTTGGTGCGCCGTTTTTCTAAAAATAAGTCACCATCTCTTAAAAACACCATCTTTTTATTCATATTCCATTAAAAAAATTAATTCACTATTTTAATCATAACTACACACTGGTAAAATTAACTGTGTTTATAGGTTTAATTCTAATTATAATATTTTTAATCATAATTTAGAATTTATATTCATTCTACATATTTATGAAACGGAATTACATTCCCCCCCCCCTTATTCTTTGGCTTTTTTTCGTCTTCCTATAATAAAGATTATTTTGAAAGCTTTTAATTTTCGGAAATTTAAAAAGCTTTTGAACAGTCAAATAAAAATTTCTTATAATCATACTTCAAAGAAAATGCTTGAATTAATATCAGTTATCCATTACATAGTATTACATACACAAATATAATTTGTGGTCTGCCAGAGAACAATAAAAGAACTACATTTCACATACATGTATCTCTCGAGCTTGTGTGTGCGTTTTTTCCCCCACTTATAAGGAAACAGAATGTTCTCACTCTCAAAGAATATTCTTTGGAGAATACTCTCGTCTTAAGTACAAAGTATCATTGATTTCACTTTATAATATATTCATAATTAGAGTTAAAAATATTTCATTTAAAATTACATTTCATATCATAACAGTTGAAGAAATAAACTTTACAATGAAATAAAATTGTAGAAAACCAATATAAGTAAAACACCAGGTATCAATTTCTCACACAAAGACTTTCAAATTTATTGACAATTCACTACATGATTAATTAAGATTCTGAAACTAGGGAACTATTACAAAAAATGCAAAAAGATATGCAATTCCCTATCTTTTTAACTAACTTTTCAAACAAGATAAATAAAATTGGTTTTGCAATTTATGTACTTTTTTTATAGTTTTATCAAATAGGCTGAAAAAAACTCAAATGAAATAAACTGAAGTCGTAATAAGTAAAAATTCCAATAATTATACACAATTAGGTAACAATTTTCTTCACACACTAATTATAAATATTTATTAGTGTGTAAATAATAAAAAAGTATAATAAAGTTATATAGATATTATAACTTCTCGATAATCAAAAGCTCCATTTTTTCCTTCAACCTACAAGACCTAACTTTTCACCATGAACAGAGTCAAACAAATGTTTCCAATTCCGACTCTTATAAAAAAGTTTTTAACTCCACAGCCATTCTTCAAATAGCAGTTAAAAGGGGAGATTTCCGTATCCTGATCTGCGGCAGAATAATCGCCAAGACTTAGCAACTTCCAGGCAGCGGCCCGCGAGAAACTAAAAAAAAAAAAACACACAGAAAGGGACTTGAAATGTATAACTCGTATCCACCCCAGGTAAACATCTACACATTTTTTTTTTTAAAAAAATTTGTAAGTTGAAAATCTATTTGGCACCTTGGCGGTTGTAGTTGGTGTAACAGATCACAATACGGAAATATCCCCAGTTAAAAAATACACAGAATTCAATCTTATACAAAATCAATAGAAAAATATCAATTTAACTACAAGATTTAATATAAGAAAATTTAGCTATTAAAAACAAAATTCTCAAAAAATTGTTCATTCAAACTTATGAATTATGTAAAAATAAAATTGACAAGTTTAATAGAGAAATTTTAGGATATCAGAAGTTAAAATACCTTGTGAACTAAATTTCCATTATTAAATCGGAGAGGCAAAAATTTGTACAAGGAGACAGCAGAAGACAGTGAAGATCCCTGCAAAACGAAAATAAATTAAATAAATTTCAATTTAATTATTAGTACGATTCTCAATGTAAACTTATTAGCATAAGTTTAAAAAAAGATCAGAAAAAACTAGATTAATTTCAATAATAATGCATAGTATAAACTAAATATTTATTGTAACTAATAAATCAAGCATCAAATATAGCATTATATAATGAATAAGTAGCATGATTTTAAAATGAAAATAAATTATGTTTACTAACAAAATGAGTATGAGTGAAACTTCTTGCGGAGTTGTATAGTAAAGAAGAAAACATTTTTGTCTCTTAAAGTCTGATCTTTTTATCAGAACATAAAATAAAATATATTTTGTTTTATAACAAATGTTAATAAAATTTCATCATTTGTCTCCTACTACTTTTGTTTTGGTTGGAAACGGAAAACGCTTTGAGCTGCTTGTATTTGCTCAACAGAAGAGCTGAAGATACAATTTGAAATAACTTTATGAGACATAGTCATTGCCTGAGCTAAAATTCATTTACCGTGAATGGCTGTTGCTTGGCTGACCGCCTTT